GCCTTTTCTCTGTTTCTAGTTTTCTCTTCTTTTGAGTTTAGTTTTGGCCCTTTCTCTAATTCGCTTTGAAAGAGAGCTTTGATCGTGAAAGTCGCACTGATATGGAGGAATGGCCGAAGGGCGCTGCGTTTCCTGTCAGTTTTCGGAGAAGGCAACACATATTCGTGTCGAGCAGGAGCTGTAGACATTTCCCGAGCCTTATTTCTTGGCGTTGTTTCTTGCCTCCGGTTGATGTTGCAGTGTAACGGGCGCTGCGAGATGGAGCTGGGCGCGGAAGCCGCTTCTGGATCAAACGGGCAAATCGCCAAGCATTTCATTCAGAAAGGCACTGCAACTCTTGGGGTGGCAGTCTTCATCCAAGCTTTGGCTAATATTGGTGGAAACTGAAGTTTCCCTATTCTCCTTCCAGGATTCTCCCTCCTATAATATTCTAGAGCTTCATTCCAATAACATTTCGCAACAATGAAAATAATTGTGTCCAGTGATTATAACTCACGGTATCGGTGAGCCGGAAGGCAAAGTAACTGGATTTTTAGCTTTTCCGCGCCATTATGAACAGAGGAACCTAGATGTGCACGATATACTTTGATAAGTAAAGAACTGTTCCAAAGAGCCAATGATAATTGAAATGATGCAAACATTTGCAGAATTCTTCTGTTGTTTTTGTCCCGTCAGATCACACCTTGTATGTGTTTCTCGAGGGAAGACAATTTCAAAGTTCTTCCTTTCTGCATTTCCCTTGTGCAGAACAACTGAGGGAAACCAGGTTATCCCGCTTGCATTCATGCAGGTTACTGCACAACTTAATCTTGCTAAGAGAAACACAGTTTCCTCTTATTTTCACTAACACTAAAACTGATGGCGTTATTAGCTGAAATGACAGTGGCGGTATTGCACGAAATATAACATTCTGTGTCGTCTCAGGATAAAAATTATAAAAATAAACCTTCTGTTGTCTAACCGTAAAAACAATAAACACAATCGCCAGTCGCGTACTAGCCTTAGTAACATCAGCACCCTGTGAGCACACGACGCGAAATGGAGGTGCAAGTGACACGCAATAACTTCTTGAGCTCTTACAGCATATTGAGATAGCTCTCGAAGATTTCAACGTGACGCTGATAGTCAGTGAAGATGGTACAATGCTTACAGCAACTGAACGCTGACTAACTCTTCTGGACAGCTTCACAACTACTTTCAATCAAATATTTTGACTTTATTTGCCTCCTGTACACTATATTCACATAAGTAAATATTAAGGCACGTGTTGAAGTAGGGAATCGACTAACAGAAGAATTTCAGACTATAAAATGCTCTAGACAAGAATGATGAGTGGCACCAGTTCTTTCAAAACTGTGTTTACAAGTAACCCCTGCAGAACATGGGAACTGTGAAAGGGCCGAATTACATATTAAGATGGGTATGCATGATGTTTAGCTGATTATCACGTGACTGTGGTCGAAGACCAGGATGCTGCTGTCAACAGGACATGAGTGCACTAAGTGCAATTAGAGGTGAATCTGTATGGAAAGGGGGGGGGGGTGCAGAATACTTCGCTGTACGTGCCTCATGGGTATAAGATTTAGGTAAATGCTGAGTTTAAATCCATTATGAGGAAATTGCAACGAATATAGAACACTGCTGCAGCACACAGAAGTAATGGAAGTAATGTCGATCTCAAAGCGGGTTGAAGGGGGGGAGACGATATTGAACATTGGTATCGGCGATCAAAGCATATGTACCGTTCATGATTCTACAACCTCAGATTCCCTCAGTGTTTGTGGATATTAAGCTTTACTATACGTGACTTGCTTTGAGGTGTCTCAGTGCATGTTGTACGCGCAATTTGAATTGCTATAGACGAAATGTTTTCTCGGTTGCTTTTTTAATGAATTGACATTGCTGAGAACGTTTATTCGTCTGATTGGTGCAAGTGAATTGAGGTCGTGGCCTAAACAGACTTTTTTTATTGCTAGTGGGGTGGGGTTAAGTCCCTTGTACTGCGGCCACTTCTGGCCTATTGTACCAGCCCCAGATGATAGGTGAGGGTGATTGTGGAGCAATTGGTGGAGTGAAGGGGAAACCGAAGTACTGGGGGAAAACTTGACACTTTGTCCACCACAAATTCCACTTGACCAGACCCGGGATTGAACCCGGGCCGCCGCGGTGGGAAGCCAGCGACTAACCGCTTGAGCTATGGCGCGGCCGTAAATAGACTTAGTTTGGATGTTAGTTGGATGGAAGGAATTTCGGGGGTTGAATAGCAGTAAACCTTATCGAGTGGGCTGCGGCTTCTGATACTTCATCGTCACAGAGATGACACCAGAGTACACTCGGTGTCATGTTACCAGTTATATAACTCTCTTATCGATTGGGACTCCACTGTACCTGATTCACAGATGGCAGCAAAGGAAAACTGAAGCTAGGCTGTATTGTCAGATTTGAGGTTCTACTTGCTTCACTTACACTTCGAAGTTAAGAATGAATGCAGCGCGTCCCTCCGAAACGTCTGTAAATTTCTATCAAACTGCACAATGTAACATCCCAGAAGACACTACTCTTTTTCATGTCGGCAATTCTGTGCTGCACACGGATATACTCGACGTACTGAGTGCTTGGAAAAACGAGGAAGAACAGTTCAGAACTTTAATAAACTATGCAAAGGAGTACCAGTAGCTCAGTCGGTACGGCTACGGGCTGGACTGCCGGGGTTCGATTCCCGGCAAAGGCTAGATTTTTCCCTCCTTCACAGTCCCAACCGGCTTCGGAGCTCAAGCAGACTCCTGTCCAATGGGTACCGCGTGCCCTTTCCCAGAGGGTAAAGCGGCCGGGGCGTGAAGCTGACGACGCGGAGCTATACCTCCACTCTCCCATATATCTTCATGTCATAGTGCTTAATTAATTAAGTATAGGGGCGAATTTACCTTTAGTATATTATGCAAGAAAGTGAAATGTTCATGACAAATATTGGTATTCTCAAAGTCGTCACCCTCACTTCCTCCAGTCCCAGGGAAAAAGGTATGGAAACCCAAATTTCCTGTTGCGTTGTAAACATTTGTTTGTTGGACATATTTACATACATTTCAAGAAGAAATTTTACGAAGTTGGTGAAAGTAAAGCATCCCGCACAATGTCACAATGTCTTTTTGTGAAGTTGGGTATGGAACGACGCCTTAAGTATCGAGACTATATATTATATGTTTTACGGAAACGGAACAAAAGAATATTGATACTGAACACATCGATCTAGCGGCGAAACTGTGAACTTGCGTTCAAGCATTGCTTCATTCCAGTCTTGACCAGGACACGGCTATCCTGGCAGATTTGCGTGGTATCTCTCAGTCCTCTCAGATAAATGCTGGGCTAGCACTTCGATTAGCCACGATTGTTTCCTTCCAAATCTTTTCAAATTCATTAGTCATCCGACGCTGCATAATCTCGATACCGAGTGTGTCGTTAAATAACCAACTGTAAAAACAACACCAATTACCGATAGGCTAATTACACAACTAATTCAACGTCTGCAAACACATTATTCTCGAGTCAGAGTAAAATGAATGTAAAGGTAAGCGTAAAGCTATCCCTGTAACAGTCGGTGGAGGCACATGTGGTTATGAGACGTCGAGGCTTCCACACTTTCCCTAGACAGTCGGCTCACAGATGGCGGTAAGGTTGTTAGCCTTACGCCCCGGCCGCCCTTTACCCCCAAGAAGATTCCTGGTACTCATTTCTGTTAGAGGCTGAGTCGACCCCAGGGCCATAGTGCGGCTGGAAGGGTTAGATCAATTGAAAAAATCCACTTCGTCGGGGCTAGAACCCGTAACCTTCTGGCTTGTAGCATAGTGCCTCAACTAACTACGCTACTGCGTGCCCCCAAAATGAATGCAAAGAAGCGAAATAAATTAAAACAATCCAACAATTTAACTACTATGTCAGCAACCGGGACCATGGTGACGGTATGAAAAATAGTTGAACTTCCTTGTTCAAGTATCAACTAAAGAGAACTAAAACAATTATGTGTGTGCAAGTGACCATATGTACATGAAGTTTTGCTAGCGGATTTGAGGTTCTCGCAGCTGTGGTTACGAACAGTTCTATCTTCTGTAGTGCCGTGTGGTCTATTGACAGTCAACCCGAAATTTTGTTGACTTTCTCTGTTGCTAGCATTTAGCTACAATGGGGCCTGCCAGGCTGGTAGTTCGGTGTGCCGGGAAAAGGAAGTTTTCCGCCTAAGATTTTGTCACATTTTCTAGGGCTTTATAAGATCATAATTGATTTCCCTTGCGAAATACTCATCGCCAATGTTTCTGTGTACGGAAATTTTCTACAGTTTTTTTAAAGAATATTTGATACAAAAATATACAAGACTTGATTGGTTCTTACACATTCTGTTTTCTTTCTGGACTGGAATTGATGCTGCACGATGGTATGAATGATTAGATTACCGAAGAATTTTAAAATATAGTCAGCGTTCTACACATGTCAATTTCGTATTTCAGAATACAAAATTATACATTTAAATAATATGACGGTATTCACTTTCGCTTCGCCCTCCGAATTTCTTTGTTTCGCCGCCTCTGATTTTGAAACAAATCCAAATTAATGTGATCGCAGTAGTAGAAGCTAATTTGAACATAGTGTCGTCTGGGATATGACGTCTTGTAGTCTGGTAGTTACGGATAGTTTTTTTTTAGCCTGAAGATGAATCCAATAAAGCCCATCAAAACGCTAGTAAACATATACCTTCATATTCATGAAATCGTAAGTGTTCTGTTAGTGTCCTCTAGGAACAGTTTAAGGAAGAATAATTTAATTGTCAGTTCAATCGTTAGGTGGCAGGAGTATCTTCAATGGCATCGATGCGTGAGCTAATCGTAAGTGTACTGTTAGTGTCCTCTAGGAACAGGTTAAGGAAGAAATATTTGTCAGTTCAACCGTTAGGTGGCAGGAGTATGTTCAATGGCATCAATTCGTATGTTTGTGAAATTAATAGCTTTGAATCATTTTGTGTGGCGGAATTGTTGTGTATTGTTCTGCTAAATTGAAATTTGTTTTAATAATTTTGTCCTTCGTATCATACGTTTTCTGTAGTCTGTGTTTTGTATGAACACAATTCCACCTCATTTCTTTCATCAGTCTAACCAACAAAGACATTTTCGATAATGACAGTAATTGTTTAGGCGTATTTAATTTCGTTGCTCAGTATAAAGGCCATCTCAATAAAATAAGAAATTATTATGTCTGACCATATTCAAATATATTCGTAGAAGTTTCACATCTGAAGGAAATCGTTGGCTTTCTGATAACCTTGTGGTATTAATCTTGTGTAAATATTGGTCACACTGATGCGTACAGTGTATTGAATGGGGCATGTGAAGTTTTTAGGAAGACGGTTTGTGATACAAATACCGGTGATTGGTACAAAATTTTTCCAAATTGTTATGTTGTATGTTGTAACGTTGATATGATTCGATACTCCTACGTACTGTGGTAGTAAACAATACAGCATGCCAGTTATTCTTCTTGATAGATTACCATTACCAAGTTTGCAGGCATACACCATCATTAGTGTCGTGTTGCTGTCATGTTCAGTTTACTATGCAGTACAAATAACCAGTGATCCAGATTGGAAAGTGAATTCAACCACATCAAGATCGAATTTTGAGCCAAATGAAAACGAATCGGGTGAAAGTATACTACCTCCAGCCAATTTCCATCATAATGAAACTGTGGGTTATCACCTCAGTCAGTTGGTGACATTTATGATTCAAGAACCACTCTGCATATGGGTAAGTTAATGTAAAGTGAATGGTCTGCTTGATTGTGTGGATAATATATAGCAATATGGTATGGTGGCCAAAATTGTGGTGTTGTGTTCTGTAGTTAGTGGACCTAATATAATTATTCATACGTATCTAGCAACACTGTCAGTGAATTGGATTTTATTTAAGGTTTATGGAATGACACCGTCATCCTAATTTCATGCAATTGCTCACCCTATTGTAAACTTATTCATCTAATGTTTTGTGCCTGTATTTAAATTACTGTGTGTTTTTGCTTTAAGATAATTTTTCTTTTTTTAAATAATGTACCATTTGGGACAAAAGGTTGGGATATATGGACATACTTTTGCAGAAAATAGTTTTAGATTTACTGTGTTGCAGCCTATTTTTTTTTTTATTTTGGTATGCTCATGTGCTGGGGCCTTCATCAAATCACACAAGAGAGCTCATACTGCTTTCATTTAAGGCTCATTTTGCTTCTGATGACAAAGTAATAGTAAGAATAGCACGATAAGATGGTGCAATTTACTGATGCAGAATGTCAGTACGCATTTCATGTACAGATTTTGTGTTGGTAGTTCCAGAGCTGCATTGATATTTAGATTTGAGGCAACCCAACAGACACATGTTTGCAATGGTACACTGCAGCTCAGGGGAACTAGATGCATTCATGCTAATTCATGAGCTCACATATGAAATGGGCCCCTCACAGGGTGCCATTTGGCATATACTGTATAAGGAACAGTTCTGTCTTTTTCACGTGGAAGAACCACATTCAGTGGCAGTAAGCCTTGCCTTCAGTTCTCTCAGTGACTTTACAAAAAACTGTAGTTGAACTGACTTGTGTCAAGTATTGCGAGTTGATGAGGCAGTATTGACAAAGATTGAATTAAACATTCTCCACAGTCTACATGAATGGGAACTGGGGAATGCTCATTCTACTAGATTCTGGAATTGTTGACAGTTACCTGATTGCACAGAATATAATAGTGATTAGTGGAATCTGGTACAGCAATTTCCTTGAGAGAACACTTCCACTTTTATTAGAGGATTTATTCCTTATGTTCATGAGGTTACGTGATTTCAGCATGATAGTGGCCCCCTCCCCCATTTTCCACCTGAGGTATATAATGGGTTGAACAACAGTTTTCTGGACACGTGGATTGGCTGTGGGTGGCATCCATGTTCTCCTGATCTGAACTGACTTTTTTTTTCTTGTGGGAATGAATAAAAGAAGATACTGATACGGTGGAAGTACGAGATAGTGGTGACCTGCTCAGTCACATCCTGCTAACTGTGACAGACAGTAGGGGCCAACCTAAAGAACTGGCTCATGGAGGATTCCATGCAAAACTAGGTCTTACCAAAAGTCTATGGCAACTGAATCTTTTATTTTAATGAAACTTGGTATAACCAAAAGTTTGTATGACATAGTAAAAGTAAAATTGTTTGTCTTGTAACTCATTGGTTTTGAAGACAGAGAATGCTTAAGTCTGTGTTATACTGGCTATTTTCACATCATCCGTGGAAGCATTAAATGATACAATAAATTGTACCTCTGAAACTAATGGATGTATTTGAATGGAACTGAAATCACTGGAAGTGACATAAAAGACTATCAAATGATATATAAAACTTTGTTATAGCTTGAGTTTTTCAAAGTGTAAGAAAGTATACTTGATGAAATTGGCCCTGAAAACATTACAACTTCCAGTTACATTCCATTTCTTGGGTAAAGGACAAAAAAGTGAAAATATGAGGAGGTAGCTGTCACTTGCCATGCATACAATGTGAATTTCATGTTCTTTTTCATTCTCTGGCTGAGAAATGATTGAATACAATGGTGTATATTTAGTCACATGTCACATTATCACAGGACAAAACTCATAAACATGTCATCAGTTTACATTATCTTTCCACGACATATGTATCAATGTACAAATTTTTTATCTAGTGATGGAACATCTGTTATTTCATTTTCGTGGATTAGTTTGGTTGTACTCTTGTTATTGGTTGTATAACTTGCAATATGCTTTCCATTTAAATGCTATGAATTTCATCCTTCTGTGGCCTGTGGAAAGGTTGGGATGGGCCTTTGCAGCATGCATGTTTTTGACAAGACGGTCTGTATTTTCATCACTGTTTTCTGTCATAACAACAAATCTTTATACAAAACGTCTTTGTATTAAAAGTTACAAACATCTTGATCAGGGTTTCCTGCTGCCTCCAAGCAGGTAACAGAGACCAATGGAATGTACACTCTTCACCGTAGTTTAAATGTATTAAAAGATTGAGAGTCAGAATAAGAATTTATTACATTCTGTAGATCCTGTATGACCAAACCAAGGATTTAGAATATACTCAATGTAAGTACAAATATAAATACATAGGTAATACAACTAGTTACAGTTTCGCAAGTATATTAAGTAATGGATAACCAGGATTCGATTCCTGGCATGGGCAAGAGATTTTTCTGTACTCCACAGTATTCAGAGCAGCTCTGGGGTGCATCCATCCTCCTATCAAATAGGTACTGGGGCTCTTTCCTCAGGGATGAAACAGCTGGGGCACGATGCTGACCACTCGCCATTATCAGGTGCTGAGGTCAAGAAGGGTGAATGGTGAAGCCATACCTCAGCTTCCCCATATGTCTTCATGGCATGGTGCTTAATTAATTAAGCACAAGAACAGATTTACCTTTTACTTTTGCTGAACTAAATAATTATGCCAATAAACATTTTCTTCATAAATTTACATATGTAATAATTTTCAATGAAAATAAGTTGATTTGCGTAGTAGGAGGCTTGAGCTAAGAGATAATCTTTAAATGCTGTTGAAGTACTATGATAGCATGCTCTAAACTTTGTGTGATAAGTGGAAGGTCATTGATTTACCTTATTCCTGTGTGGTTCCGTTCTTTCTGATACCTGGTGAGGTTAGCATTGTCATATATAGGCCATATTTATCACTTTTGTTTGTATTGTGTGTATCGGAATAATAATCAGTAATTAAAAGATAAACAACCTAAGAAAATGGATATGAGGTTTGGTACTTGGAATGTTAGAAGTAAGTATAGGGCAGGGTTGCTCAGGGCAGTGCCCAACAAGAGGAAATCTCAAAATGTAAGTTACATTTAAGGGGAGTACAGGAGGTCAGATGGGACAGAGGTGGCACCGAAGCAGCAGGCAGATATACATTTTTCTATGGAAAGGGGAATGAGAATTGTGTATTAGGTACAGGTTTTTTGTACATAAGAGAATCTGTCAACAGTTAAGAGGGTAGAGTTCATTAGGGATAGGATGTCATACATGATACTAAGAAGTCTCTGGTGTGATATCATCGTTCTGAATGTTCATCCTCCAGCAGAGGACAAAATTGGTGATATTAAGGCTAGGTTCTACAAAGAACTGGAAGATGTATTTGATACACTTCTGAAGTACCATATGAAAATTTTGTTAGGATGTTTCAATGCCAAAGTAGGTAAGGAAAACATTTTCAAAACAACAATTGGGAATGAGAATTTACATGAAAATAGTAATGCTAATGGAGTTATACTAAACTTTGCTGCATAAAAAAATACTTTTTTTAATGCTAGTGGGGTTGGAATAAGTCCCTTGTACTGTGGCCACTTCTGGCCTATTGTACCAGCCACTGATGATAGGTGAGGAAAACCTGCCCCAGCGCCACTTTGTCCACCACAAATCCCACTTGACTAGACCCGGGATTGAACCCGGGCCGCTGCGGTGGGAAGCCAGCGACTAACCGCTTGAGCTATGGTGCAGCCCTCAAAAAAACTTACTGTCAAAAGTACGATATTCCTACATCATAACATTCTTATATTAACTTAGATGTCTCCTGACACAACAAAATCGACCATGTTTTAATAGACAGAAGACGGCATTCAAATATACTTGATGTCCGATCATTCAGGGCAACAGATTGTGATACTGACCACTACCCGGTGGTGGCAAAGGTTTGGGAAAGACTGGCAGTAAGCAAACACAGAACACACAGAGTTCCTATGGAGAGGTTCAATCTCAAGAAATTAAATGAGGTAGAGGGTAAAGAGTTGTATTGTGTTGAAATCTGAAATAGGATCGTGGCTTTGGAAAACTTGGACATTGAGGTGGATGGTAATAAAGCTTGGGAAACTATTAGAGAGAATATCAAAATTTCTCCCAAAGAGAGAAGCTTATTATGAATTGAAGGAGCATAAGCCATGGTTTGATGAAGTAATGCTCAGAATTATTAGACCAAAGGAAACAAGCCAAATTGCAGTGGTTACAGGATCCAAGTGAAATAAATGGGGATAATCTTAAGAATATAATATGTGAAACCAGCAAGCATTTCAGGAACAAAAAGAGGGAATATCTGAAAGACAAAATTGATGAGCTTGCAACAAAAAGTGAGAACAAGAACATTAGAGACCTGTATAGAGGAATAAATGACTTTAAGTGGGGTTACCAACCTAGAAGTAACTTAGTGAAGGATGAGAATGGTGATCTGCTTGCATATTCCCACAACATTTCGAATATGTGGAAGAACTACTTCTCTCAGTTACTGAATGTACATAGGGCCAGGGATGTTAGGCAGATAGAAATACATACAGCTGGGCCGTTCATACCTGAGCCTATGCCTTTTGAGGCTGAAGTTGCCATTGCAAAATTGAAAAGGTATAAATTGCCAGGTAGTGACCAAATTCTGGCAGAACTTATTCAAGCAAAAGGTGAAATATTATGTTCAAAGATCCATAAGCTAACTAATTTTATTTGAAAGAAGGAAAAAATTGCCTAATCAGTGGAAGGAGTCTATTATTGTACCATTTCACAAGATGGGTGATAAAACTGACTGTAGTAATTATTGTGGGATATCACTGCTATCAGCTTCATACAAAATTTTATCCAATATTCTTCTTTCAAGGTTAAGTCCATACATAGATGAAATTATTGGGGGTCATCAGTTTGGGTTTCCAGGTAACAGATCGACTACGGATCAGATCTCTTGCA